TTTAGTTGTTGTTTTGGGATTATTTTATTAGCATGATAATTTGTTCAGTGGGGTAATTTTTTTATATTTGGGAAAGTGCATAGGGAACCTAAGAACCTAAGCATTTCATTGTAACTTTCTATTTTAGGTATAATAAAGTTGACATAGCTCATGTCCTGCTGCACTCTTAGCAGGGAGACTGAGCCAGAGCAGCAAAAGCAGGAGGTTGTGTGGTGGCTGATGAAAGCTGAGTTCTGAAAAAGTTGTGGTTATGTTAGGTTGAGTTAGTGCTGAAATGTTTCCTGGCTACATCCAAATAACCTTGCTCAGTCCTTAGGTTCTGGGGGAAAAAAGCTACGATTGAAAACTGTATCTTTTTAATTACATCTCTGCCAATTTATGAAGCTGCTATTCTGGACTGCTCTAGGTCACCCAGTTTATTGTCTAGTAAATACATCTGTTACACAGTAATGCACATATTCTGTTTATTTTCTATAAAGACCTTGTGGATCAATTTCTCATGACCTACTAGAAAGTTTGTTTTCAACTCTGGATGTGTTTTCAACTCTGGATTCTGGAAAATGTAAGATTGCTAAGTCCTCATGTAATTTTGAGAAAAGCATTATTTGCCTTCTCTGCTTTGCAGGCAGAAGGTGTTTGATGACTTATGACTTCTTGTATGATTAATGTCTCTGTTCTGTGGTGACAAAATTAGGATGAGGAGTACAGCAGCCCTCAGGAACTTCAGAAGGCTCTCCAAGGCTAAGGGCAGGCCTCTAGGTAACTTACAGACAATTTGGTTACATGTCTTCTGATGATGGAAAAGGTCTTTTTCATCCCCTGCTGAAGGGGAAGTGTGTTAAATCCTTGAGGTGTCTGTCTCCTATCTCCAGATGGTTTTAAAGAATTTGTACTTGATGGAGTGCTGAGGGACAGTAACTTGACTGTTGGGAGTAGTAAAGCAAAGCAGTATCTTCTTCCTCTCTGAGTACCATAATGGTCTTTTTGGTTGTATAGATGATATTTTGGGGAATAGAAACTGTAGAAAAATGTCTGGTCAAAACTTTTGGTAAATCAACAGCCTCAGAGGCTATATTTTGCTTCTCTTGAATCATAGCCCTGTCAGTTTCAGCAAGGTTTAAAAACTCCGATATTTAATCATGTTAGATTTGCATTTTTAAATTATACAGTTGTAGTGATTTAAGTCCCTTCCAGTACAGCTGAAGCTATTTTTATCACCATTTATTGCTTCGTTTTTACTCCTGTGTTAACATATCCAAACAGTATTACAGCAAGGTGGTGATACAGTTTTCAGATTGACTCTTTTACCTAGATTGTGAAGGCATTTATAGAAAATGGTTAGTTTCCTTGTTCTGTGCATTCACCAACATCCTTCAATATTCTGCTATAAATCTGTTTTGATATACTATTTATTTATGAAATTAACTTCTCTCATTTAGTTTTAAGTAGCTTTGAGGAGTCTCTGATCTCAGCTGTCATTGTGTGCAATCTGTCTACTTTGAATGTCTTTTTCTCATCTGGTGTTACATGAATTTAACAAAGTGTTATGTAAATATACACACACCTGTATAAATATCTATGATATTTTTATCTTCGTGGGTTTTTTTTCCTGTGTGGCGTTACAAATATCAAGTTTATTTGGAGTTAAAGATTTAGTTATGTCTTACATTTATATACAACATGTTGAAAATACATGACAATTTCAGGTGAAAACAACTTTTAAAGTATTTCTTATGGAGTGCAGAGTTAGTAAAGGTATATGAGAGTTCTCCATTTGAAGAGCCTTGGAGAACACTGATGAAGTACTTGCATTAGATTTCAATGCTGAATAATTAAAAGACATTTGAAAGCTATGAACAGGCATAACGTCTTTGACCTTGACTGGACTTTGGCCTGCTCTGTGGAGTGGAAGACTCAGTTCTATAGGAACAGTTTGCTCACTCTTTTATTGCATTCTCTTTTTATTGCTAACATCATTCTCCATTTAAACAGGGAGTTGTATCTTGAAATTAATACATGGTTATTATAACAGGATTGACGGAAGGCAGCTAAGAGGGTGTATGCATACCCTTTAAACTGTGCTGTTCAGCTATTACTGTTTTTATGAAATAGAAATGTTCGTACTGGGTCTGTGGTCCATGGTGGCTTCCACGTTTTCACCCCTTAAATCTCATTATATGGCAACTGAAGATATTATCACCTTAAAATAGTATTTTCCTTAGAAGAAACTGGCACAGCTGAGGTCAAGGGAAGTTGATAGGCATCTTCTGTGTCTGCAAACATAGCCTGTTTGAATGAGTACTACTAAGAAACTTCTTTCTTTGTAGCATGTTAGGATTTCATTTGCTGGCAGGTGAATATATTATCAAATATCTATTCCATAATGACATCTCAAAGTTTTTTAAAAACTCAATGATTAAATAAAATTATTTCCTATGAAAATGCTAAGATCAATATTTAATGCCCAAGTTCAACTCAGTGTTCTATTCTCATCTTTAAATTGAATCATTTTTCTTGAATTGCTTTTCTGCAGATAGAATTCTTTCTGAAATGTGTGAAGATGATAGGTAAAAAGGGAGGGCAAAAGACCATTGCTTTTTCAGCAGATTTTGAAATTTTCTTTTTGAATGAAATTCTCAAAACTGCCAGTTTGACATATGTTTGAGATGTATCTGAGAATTAAAATATTAACTCTGGTTTTAATGTATTCTTTTCTTTGAAAATCCACACAGCATTTGAGAGATATTATTTGACATACTACATATATTATTTGAGATGTTTAATATAATTTGATATTATATTATCTCTTTCTCAGTCAAGCTGGCTACTAATCATCTGTATTCTGGGTGTTCTAAATATATGGGCCTCTTCATAACTGATGTAGCACTTCTGTGATAGGACTGATAGCAGTCACAGGCTAATCACAAGAATCAAATGCACTTAAGCCTTTCTGTATTCTAAAAGTTTGACCCTTCATACCAAACAGTACATTTGCTAAATGCAAACCAGCACTCCTTTGGTAATACATACCTACATATGTAATGTGGCTTTCCAGTATCAATACACTTATCTAGTATGTGAAGTTTGTAGAATGACAAAAGGTAAAAGAAAGTGTATACGAATACATTGAATTCACTGAGTGTTTCTTTCGTTTAATCCAGCGTTTTGTCTTTAATAATACTGCATTGCAGGAAAGTAAGTATGGTAGCTTCACCTTGGCCAGCTACCAGACCCTCACCCAGCTGCTCTCTCACTTTTCCTCCTCAGTAAGATAAGGAGAGAACATAAGATGAAAATATTTATAAGTTGATACGAAGTCAGGCAGATCCCTTACCAATTACCAGCACTGGCAGAACAGGCTTAACTGGGGAAAAATACTTTAATTTATTGCCAGTTAAAAGTAGAGTAGGATAGTAAGAAAGAAAAATCTTGCCCTGTACCCCTCTTCCCATGCTCAACATCTCTCCTTTATTCCCAGCTCCTCTATTTTCTCCCCCATGAATGGCACAGGGGATATGGGGAATAGGAGTCTGTCCAGGACAGTTCCTCTCTGCTGCTCCTTCCTCCTCACTTTTCCTCAGCTCTAGTGTAGGTCCTCTCCTTGGTCTGCAGCCCTTCAGGATAAACCTGCTCCAGCATGGGTCCTCCTCAGGCATTAGTTCTTGGAAGGAGAATTTGCTCTAGCATGGGCTCTCTGTAGGTGGCAGTTACTTCAGAAAATACCTTGCTCTGGTGTTGGGTACTCCATGGTCTGCAGTGTAGGTGTCTGCTCCAGCATGGTCCTCTCCATGGGCTTCAGAGAAGTACCTTCTTCACCTTGGTCCTCTCCATGGGCTGCAGGGAAGTCTCTGTACTGGTGCCTGAACCACCCCCTCCCCCTTCTTCTCTGACCTTAGCATTTCCAGGGTTGTTTGTCACACATTTTTTCTCTCACTTCTCACTGCCTAGCCAACATTTTGCCCTTTCTTAAACATGCTTTTGCAGAAGCATCACCAGCTTCACTGATGAGCTCAGCTATTTCCTGCCGTCAGAGCCCCTCACAGACACCACCCCTGCAGCCCCTCCAGTACTAAAATCTTGTCACTGACACCCAGTACAGTCAGATGGAGGGGAAGAATGCAGAAATCAGTTTTGTTTCTTACCGTGGTTAATTTCTTTATTTCTTTTAGTATCAATTCAACCACAATAAATTTAATTTGTGGTTATCATTTCTAGACAAATGACAGGAGCAATTTTCTGAAAGACACGCTGAATATATTGGAAGGACAATGTAGACGGTGTTTTTGATCTCCAAAAAACACATATAGAGAGATCAGGCTTATATTTTTAAACTCTTGCAAGATGGAAAGACTGGTAGACATCCTCTGGCTGCCTGGGCTACTTGGATGTTTGCTGGCTCTTGTTTTTCAGATTTTCACCATGAAATACCTTTTTGAGGCTTTGTGCAGTTTCTCATGTGGTTTTGCATCCTACATTGATCTCTATTGGTGCCTAAAGCTTGAAAAAAGCTTGCATCATTCTACACAAGCTGATGCATGGATGTGCGCTAGAGCAGGCTTAACATTGCATCATAGAAAGTATTTTCAGTTTGTAATTTAGATATCCATTCTAAAAACACTTTCACACTTTCTTATATTTTTCTCGATTTTATGAACATAGAGTAAGCAATTGATTTTGAAGGTACAAAGCTTAATTGATCCAGAGTTTTGTTTTATGAAAAATGACAATTAAAGAAAATATGAAGAATTCTTAGTAAATAAAATGTGAAAATTAAGTTTCATGTATAGTTTCTAAAATAGTGCATGAAAAAATTCTTTTTGTCTTAACCAGCATTATGTTTCACTTCATGGTGATGTAGTAATGTCATTTTCTAAAATGGCATATTTATTTATATTTTTAGTGGTCATTGGCAGCTCTGAAAACTATGGTATTTTAAAATAGCGTTATAACAAGGTTTTTTAATGCCATGCTAAAGTTAACTTTATATTTTATTATTTCAGTTGTTCATGGTGGACAATGGAGCAGATGACTGGAGAATAGCCATGACTTACGAGCGTATTTTCTTTATCTGCTTGGAAATACTGGTGTGTGCTATACATCCCATACCTGGGAACTATACATTCACATGGACAGCCCGGCTCGCCTTTTCTTACGCTCCATCCACAACAACAGCTGATGTGGATATTATTTTGTCGATACCAATGTTCTTAAGACTATATCTTATTGCCAGAGTTATGCTTTTGCATAGCAAACTTTTCACTGATGCCTCATCTAGAAGCATTGGAGCATTAAATAAGATAAACTTCAATACCCGTTTTGTTATGAAGACTCTAATGACAATATGTCCAGGAACTGTACTGTTGGTTTTTAGTATCTCATTATGGATAATTGCTGCATGGACTGTCCGAGCTTGTGAAAGGTAAGGTTGTTTTGTTTGTTTAGTGCTTTCTGTCTGTCTTTGTATTTTTTTCTCTTGTTTTGCCTCTTCAGTTTTGGACTCAGGGGACGTAAATACTTAATGGAATAGAGCTTCTAGATCCTTGATATTATGAATGTTGGTTGTGTCACAGATTGTCAGGAATGCTTTGCCTGTTGGTCTGAAGGACTTCAGCAATGAGGTTTGTCCCATGCTGTTTACCCTAGCATTGCAGTTTGATGTCAGCGTTTCGGTATAACTTCAGGCATGTTCGCTAAAGCACAGTGGAAGCATCATTATCCGTCCCTCTAAGGAAAATCCTATAGAGACAGCTTATGGGTTGAGGCAGGCGAGTTGACAATATCAGTAAAAACTTCACTGTTTTAATGGTCATCTGACTGATCACTTGATAGGCATTGAGCTAAGGCAGAACATGTGTCTTTCTCAGTGCCTTAATGGTTGTACTGTTAGGTCTCAGAATGCTAATTATAGCAAGTGGGTTGGTGAGCAAGGTATTTTCCAAGACTGCAGTTTAAGATCATCCATGAGGGCAGAATGTAGTTCAGATAATGACGGTGGACAGCCAGCTGAGTATAAATGGTTTGGAGGGGCTTCAGAGTAATCTGGCTGAGGGAGTTTGGGAGTAAAAGGTGGGGAAAGTATGAGTTTTGCTGTGAAACAATGCCAGAAACTCTTCCTGTTTTATTGCTCAGGTTTCTATGTTTGTTTTGAGGGGAAGATTACTTTACATAGGTTTTTCATTGCCCTTATCAATCAGTGTATTGCTGTCTGTCATACATGGGCTTCATAATGAAAATCGAATTTTTTATTGGATCTAACTTAATAATGTTTGTGTTTATAACACATTCAAGACACGTGATCTAGAGCGCTTAGGAATGTGTTACTTTCATATATGAATTATGAACCCTGTAAGCAGATTACTTTTTGCAGTCTCCAATACTGATCCTGTTACTGAGATAGTTCTGTGCATGGTTGTCAGTTGTTTATAGCTGTTGAAATAGAAATATTTGGTTTATTAAAAAAAAATAGAATGGTAGAGCATTATGTCATTGAAAAGTCTGACAAATTTGCTTCACTCTTCTGTCTCTATTGTGAGAAGCGAGCTGCTTTTCTAGGTTATGTAGAAGGTAGTCTCTCTTGCTCATCTTTTATTTTTTTCTGTGCAAAGGAAGAAAGTACCTTGCCTTCTGAATGCACAACATGGCTTTAATCTGCCCATGTATCAGGGAAATATGAGCTACACATGCCCATGTACTGCTGTACATCCAGAACAGCTCATGTCATGTACCCGGAGTTGCTGTGGATTTACAGCAGCAGAACTGAGAACAGAAGTGGATTTTCTGCTTCCTCAGCACATTTTTGGCACCATTTTTGGTTCTGTTTGTACCTCTAACTTCTGGTGATGAAGTCAGTTTAGATTGAGCAGTTCGTTTATGCATCTTTTCTTCTGCCCATCAGCTTGTGATCTGTATTTTTTCTTGCTTTGACAAAACCAACCAAAGAAACAAAACACATACAGACAAATCCGTGTGTGAAGGTGAAATCCTTTTCTGCTCTCTGCTCATTCTTGTTATCTACAAATAAATAAATATCTGTCTTAATTCTTGAAAATACGAGTTCCTCTCAAAGTTTCCAGTAAGCAGTTCACACATGAAAACTGCTAGGCAAATGTTAAGTATTTATTTGACACAAAAAGGTGGACGCACCTGCTAGTAATTCAGTTGTAATTCATGCAGGGGGGAAAAAGAAAAGTTTCTTAGCTAATCTAATTTCCTTGCAGTATGTGTTTGAGTTCTTTGCTTGCCTTGCAGACCTTATCTTAGATTGTACACTGCATGTATAACCCCAAGGCCACACTTCACTACATTGGAAATTGCCTTTAGTAGTTTCTGCAGTGCCAGTATGCATATTTTTATTGGTAGTTAAAAAAACCCAAACCCCAGAAACAAACAAACAAACAAGCCCCCAAAAAAACCCTAAAGCCCCCCCAAAACAAACAAACAAAAAAACCAAATAAAACAAACTACGTTTGAGTATTTAGTTTTAAATCTATTTTCAGTCCCCAAACACTGAAGCAATGATGTATCTTTTTTTTTTTCCTAGCCAATATGTGTAATTACTGTCAATAGATCAAATATTGTTTATGTATTGATAATGCTGGCTGTTTATCACAGTTTTTTACCTTCTCTTGGCTCACTGGATCTAAAATGTGCTGTTTGAAGTCACATTTCTTCAGTGGAGGCAGAAATTAATTGTTAAATATTCAATACAACAGTGATCAAAGATGACCCATCATCATCTTGACTTGAATCTGTGCTATGAATGAATGCTTCTCTGCCTTCTAGCCTTAATTCCTGGATTTGCAGACTGAGTATAGATTAACAGTAAATGTTAGGCTATTCTTTTATAATATTTACCTTTCAAAGCAATTCATCACTAAAAACTGATGTAACTGGTCGTATTTTCATTGCAAATGCTACCAATAGACAACAGATCTATTGTTTTATCAAACAGAGAAAGCAGTAAGGTAGTCTGTCACAGAAGTACTTCAGAGAATGTCTGATATACATAAACCAAAACCAAAAAAGCACAATTGATCCAAATAAGAAATATGTTTCCTAAATGTATCTGGAATGACTAATACTAAATGACGGGGTTTTCAGCTGCTTGAAAACAGTTTATATACATTTAATAGAGGAAGCAGAGGCACCTTTCCTAATGCATGTAGAGCTTGCTTTCTATTCTTTTAATTTCGTATTTTCCTTCTCTTTGGAACAATGTTATTTGTGTATTCTCAGCAAAAGAGTTTGGGGAATACAAGCAAGAACATATTCTTCAGTTTTTTTGGATTTATAGAATTAGCCTTATAGATATGGAAAGTAGTAATAACTGCTGCAGTAATGGATATAGTCATCCCTTCACAAAAATTTGTCAAGCCAAGATAGACTGGTTTCTAGTACAAAAATAGCAGGCCCAACTTGGGGGAAGGGCATGCAAAAGACAAAAAGTTGAAAACAAGCACAAAAAAAATCTCCTTGCTTACTTAAAAAAAATCTTCTTTTTCAGGGTCATCTACCTAGAGCAGGAAAAGTTTTATTTAGGTTAAATTCTCTTTTATTTACAGAGGGTTTTTACATACAACAGTTGTATGAGAACACAGTGAAGAGGAAAAGCTCATGTGTAGTTCCAACGTCTTGTAAGAATAGTGAGCAAAGTAAAGACTGCTTCTCTGAATGCAAAAATCTGAAGAGAGTAAGAGGACCTACAAAAGAGGACTTACATGCTTTCAAAGACAAAATGCCTTTTTTTTTTTCATTCCTATTAATCTTGAATCTGTAAAGCTTAATTCAGGGAACGATCGTTCTGTTCACAAAGAATGGTTGTACACACTCCAAATTCTTTCAGATCAGAGAATCAATTTATGGAATTTTTTTAATTATTATTTTATTCTTGGATACAAAGACACATCCTGTGGTCCTTGTATGTTTAAATGTGGTAGTTCATTTTTTTCCTCCCCATTTTAACCAACACCTTAAACTATTCAGAATATTTTGCTTCTAAAGGAGTCCAAACTATTTGTCATAATATCTTAAAATATCGTAGAAAATATGATCATACTGAAGCAGAAATCAATTTCTTATCACTTCAAAATGTAATTTCTTGCTCCAGTAGCTTAACGTGTTTGAAAAATACACCCTGAAATGGGGATTTAGGCTATACTATTGGGTTTCTTTTGCTTCTGGATCTGGGTGTCAGGCCACAGTGAGGAGTTTAGATTATGGTTGTCACCATGGTGCTAATGAATGGATGACATGCTGATGGAACTCTGACCTTAGACATTAAAGAATTTCTTTTACTGAGAATTTATAATTCAGTCCTAAAAATTGGAGTCTTCAAGGTCAATTACAGGAGATAGTGTGAGGACAATTGCACTGTTTAAGAAGTGGTTATATGGAGGGAAACATTAGAAGGTGCTGTTTAAATATTTTACATGTTCTATATTTCCCTTTTATGTGCTCCTCCCCTCTTCCTTTGCTGTTAAAGTACATAGAATCATAGAATAGTTAGGGCTGG